CATCTACTCCCTCTATGATATCGTCATTGTCGTACAGTTCGTTTATAAGACGACGGGGTAAATGTCGCTGATTTTGGGGTGGCACAGTGGGCACAATTGATTTTGAGACTTCGTTTAAAAGATTTTCGCCTTTCAGGCACAATTTACGCAGTTCTGCAAGTGAGGTTACGGGTACGTATAGTAGCTGTTGTCGAATGCGAGGACGCGNACCCTCCGCCAATTTTAAGATAGCATTTCGGAAATCGTCAAAACTTTCGTAAAGGCATTGCTTTCTAGCTCGAATCAACTCTTTAATTTCCGTATCCGTTCTGTGTTCTTGGAAATTTGTACGAAGTGCTTGACATAATGTTGGCCATGTCACCCGCTGGACAGACCGCCTGTAAAGCCAATACCAATCCTTAGCTTCATTGGTGAAGAGGCTTTGTACATGCTCACATAATACGTTGAAATTACCACCTAACGTGTCTATTACCTGCGATTCTATTCGGTGAAGGAAGTTATCTACTAAAGGGTTGCAGAATTACATTTGTCTCTTCTACGCTTGAAAGCACTCTTTGCTTTGTACTCTACTCCCAAGTAGAATGCTTATATCTCTCCGCGCAAAGCCATTACTCTTCATCGCAAGTGCAAATGCTAGTGATACTTCTTCTGTTGAGCCAAATTGTGTACACTACTTGCCACGATCGCGCAATACAGGCACACGACGCTACGCCAACGAGTACAGAAAATATTACACGCTTGCTTGCAGTAATCGAAAGTGCTTGTGGTGCTTGTGTATTCGAAATTCCTCGTCGTATTTGGTCGTTTGCGACTTGACTGGCAACGCATGCGCACAATTAATAAATTTGCATAATGGAGCTTGACAACGTAAATATTAATATTAAATACATATTTCGCTTCTATCATTTTATTGCATTAATGTTTGCAGTCATTTACCAACGATCCACCTGCTACAAACGTTAGTTTTAGTAGTAGTTTGAGTAATAGTGTCATAAGAGAAAAAATTATTAGCGGCGAGTTTAAAATTTCTAAGGGTACTGGGAAAAGTAAAGTAAAACGTGTTTCAATGTATTAAAGCACTGCAAAAAATCAACCTCAAACTTATTGAAGCACAAGTGCGTTATAAGATACTCAATGAATAGTAACAGCGAAAATGTACTATTTTCCGAAATCGACAAAACTTGTACTAAAAATGAATGTAAGCGGCTCATGGCAGAATTCAATGTAGATGCATTACATACTGAAAATAGTTTATTGTTCAGAGATTTTGTTCAACCAAGACAAACGCTTAGTATTGAAAATAAAATCTATAGAGAAATTCATAAGTACGAAAGCACTGATGTTGAATTTTATGACGATTTCGATATTGTGCACTGGTGGGACGGTCATAAAAATGATTTCCCAATTTTATATAAACTGAGCTGTCGAATTTTAGCAACTCCGGCATCCTCAGCTCCTTTTGAAAGAGCATTTTCACTGAGAAACGTTGCAGTATTAGTTGTAATGACAGCGCAATAAACAGGATAATGTTCCTACATTCAAGCATTGGTTAAAAGTATGTATATTAAAAAAATTTGAATTAATTAAAATTTATATTAAGAAAAAATTAACAATTTTTCGTAAAAATATCGAGCTCTTTTATTGGTTTACTTAGAATGGTTTTAAGTATGCAGTTTTGTAGCCCATTCAATTTTAGTACAATGAAGTGCAAGTTTGCAAAGCAAGACTTACCGTTGATATTGGTAATTTTTTTTTTGTTGAAGCTGTTGGTCATTTTCTCCATATAAAAAGAATCGTGTTAACATACTTCGTATGGAAGAAATGACTGACACCGTCAATAAATTCCAAAATATCAACTGTATGTTCGTGCTACTTCAAACTTGCACTTTATTCTATTAAAATTGAATGGGCTAGTAAGCTGCATATCCAACCAAATCTAATGAAAAAGCTAGAAATTTTTATGAAAGTTTGTAGAATATTTAATATTGCAAAACGTTTAAATCTTGCATTGCAAAACTTTTCAATAAATGGTTGGCGTATACATACATAATTATTTTTTTTGAAAATCATTCTTTTGTTAATTTTATATTTTCTTTCCTTAAATATTTAATCTGGAATATTATACCCATTTTCGTTTAACAAATTAACTATACACATTTCTTTAACATTGAGTAGTTTTCAAAACTTTATTCATTACCTTATTGCAGCAAAGGCGTTCGCTGAAATAAATACATACATATGTATGTACATATGTATGTGCATATATATTGTATATTTTTAATCAAATAACGTAGTAGTAAGGGCAAGCATCAACAATATCTTTGATGTAAATACAAATGTATCTACATGTGTGCATAAGCACATAAATAGCATAACCCAAACACCAACAATCAACAGCTCTATGAAAATACTCAAATACTCGCAAGCACAGTACACTGCTTGCGGATATCTTCAGTCGAGGTAATTGTGTTTGCAAAGCCAGTACTTCTTTTCTTGCTATTGATCGGGTTTTTACTTACGCATACTCCAAGCGGTTTGTGTTTGCCCGCACTCAACAAGAGAATGGAGAGATAAAGAGAGTAGATAATTGCGCTGCTAACAAATGTCTTGTTGGGCAACTCAAATGTATCCGTGCAGTGTTTTATTATCTACCGATAATTTGGAAGACCCGTCAAATTTTATGTCCCAACTGGCTATAAGCTGAGCTATCCTGCCTGAGTTCGGAACGCTCGAAATGTCACTAAATCTGAATTGGTCTATTTGCCTGTGGAAATTATCGGGGTTATTAAGGTTATCGCGAGCCCAAATCGGCGTCGAGTTCACTGAATTTCTGTTAGGTCTAGGAGTGGTACTATTTGGTGGAGCGTTTGCTGCCATTGATTGGGATACCTGGGGTTGAGGTGCATTAGTAATGCCGTGGTTAAGGTTCAACCTTGCTAAAACATTGGACAGGGTACTTTCCAATCTCTGTTCCATTATTTGTGCTATACGTTCGTCTAGGTTTTCGAATGCTGCTGCCTGCCTTGCCGAAATTACAGCACCAACAATGTTGCGTATCCGTGCTTCTTCATTCTCGTTACATTCGGCTGCTTGGTTTTCGTTCATAACTTGGTTTTCCAAAGGCAAACTAATTGCTCCTTGGACGTCTGGGTTCTCTTGCTGAGGGTTTGTTTGAGATTGTATATTCCTATTTGTATTTCCATTACCATTTTTTTGTGTTGGCTGGCCTCGATTTCGAAGGCCGAGACGGGGGAAATCTCTGCTGTTACATCGAGTTCTGCACTGCGGACAACTAGAATTGTGCTTTAACCAGTCCAAAAGGCAAGTTCGATGGAATTGATGAGCACAAGCTGTTTTCAGGACATCATCAGTTTCGGTATAAATATCACGACAAATCGTACATAGGTTAGAATGCAATGACAAGTTTTCATTACTTTGGCGTACGGACATTGTGGTCAGTGGCTCTAAATGCTTTAATTTAAAACAAAAAAAATCAAGTTCGGTGTAGTCGGTAAAAAAAATATCAATAAAAAGAAAAAAAAAGATCCGCTATAAAACGTTCAAAACACGATATAGATTTTGTTCTACTCCTCATGGATTTGTTGGCGGTATAAAAAAAAAAATGACTGTTTGGTTTGGACAATACAGGCTCAATCACAAACTCGAGCTTTGGTTATAAGCTCAAAACATTTATAAAATTCCAAAGCTATATGAGTCTTCGTACTTTGTTTCCACAGCTATCTAGAAAAAGGACTTTAAATGTTTAGTCAAAAACTAGTAACTTGAGCTTCTGTTCGCATAAACTAACTCTTTGGTTAGTAACCGAGCATAGAGCCTGACTATACCACAGTTCCAAAGGAGTCGTTTACGCTTCAACCCGAAGTTTAAAATTTCTACAATCTGATAGATGGTTTGTATTGCACTCCTACCAGTGGTCGATTCTGATATGCATATAGCATTCAAAAAGAAGCTGTTCCAATGCTGGTATTTATACAATGAAAGCAAATACTGGATGACATATTTTAATACAAGACGTGGTCAGATACTAAAGCATATATCAACTATAACGTTCTGATTTCCAACAATCTCTAAGTTAAAGAAAATAATAATCATCAGACGGACGAATCGGATGTATTCCATGACGGAACTTAGACCCAAAAGTTTCCTCTTTCGAAAGCATTCATAAACACTTAACGTTCAACCTTTGGGCCCCACGTTGGGCGCCATTTTATTTCTGTTATGAACTTCCCTTTATAATCGGTCTTTATGACACTTTTCTGCGGCATCCTGGTATTGTCTCATTCGCTACGGCGTGTGCACTGGCAATGGCCCGCTGCTTCAGTTGCGTGGGTTCATAAACGTAGCGTCAGAGACTAGAAAAGGAGGGGAGGCACAACGAAACAAAAGAAATTGCACACTGAATGGACCAAACAAACTACATGATTTCTATAATAGCTGGCTCCATAGGCATATATATGTATTTGTCCCACAGCCTGTTATATGTCTTCACAAACACAGCAGCGATTACTATTAATGCTGTCCCT